TTCACATAATCAGCTTCCGAAGGGACTTGCAACACGTTTTCCAAAGTTCCTTTTAACAAGGAAACTGCTTGTTGTACTTCAGCTGTTGTAGTTTGTAAGACTTCCGGTTTCAAAGCAGCTTCTGCAGATTGGCAAATAACTGCACTTAATTTCTCCAGAGGAGTCTTAATTTGGACCAGCTTCTGAACGTCTTCATGTGAAATGTTTTGTATAGCTTCTGTAGTTATCAGCTCCTCCAGAGCAACTTCCACTGATTTTACCGGTTCATAAATCTGTTGAATGTAACCTTGCTGAGGCGAAACAGTGACGTCCGTAAACTCTTGCGTCGAAGTCTGGATCTCTGAAGAAACTTTCTTAACTAGTTGCAATAGCGATTTTAGTTCCAAAACGTTCTTTTCTTCAGATTCCACTGCACTGCCGCACTCAACTATGTTCAAAGTAGCTGATAGTACAGTGAGAGGCGTTTCCAGAAGCTTAGCACTTTGGGCCTTTGAAGGGACTTGAAGAATGCCTTCAATTGATTCTTTCAGTGCAGCAACAGCTTGCTTTAATTCAGATTCGTGTTGCTCTAAAACTTCGGGCTTCAAAGCAGCATGTTTGGCTTCAACAAGAACTGCTCTCAACTTTTCCAGTGGCTGCTTGATTTCGCCAAGCCTTTCAGCCTCTTCATTAGATAGATCTTTAGCTGATTCTGGAAAATTTATGATTTTTTCCAAGATTGTTTCAAATTCTTTCACCGGTTCTGCAATATTCTCCAAACTGGCTTGTTGAGGAGAAATACTAATATCTTTAGTATGGTGTTTCAAAATCTGGATTTCTTGAGAAATGCCTTGCACGGTCTCGATTAGCAACTTTGCAGTGACGATGTCGTTTCTCTCAGTCGTGTCTTTTGGTTCATCTGCCATTAAGGTCTCAATCTGGCCTAAGGAAGCCGACAGGGATTTCAATGATAATTCCAAAATCTTCACACTTGCAGCTTCCGACGGGACTTGCAGCACTGCTTCCAAAGTTTCTTTTAACGAAAGGACGGCTTGCTTCACTTTAGCTGCCACGTTTTCCGAAACTGCAGGTTTAAATGCCACTTGTTTGGATTGAACTAACACAACTCTAAGCTTTTCGAATGGCTCTGTAATCTGGCTCAGTATCAGAGCTTCTTCAGGCGAACTTTCTGAAACTTCAGCCAACTGGTCAAGGGCTGCTTCGACAGCTTTAATGGGTTTCTCGAGTACTTGAAGACTAGCTTGTTGAGGAGCGGCACTAACATCCGAACTTTCTGGCTTCAGCGTTTGCACTTCAAGTGAAACTTTTTGAACCGTTTCCCGCAAAAGCTGGGCTGGAGATGAAACGCTGACTTCGGTAGTATCTTCAATATGTACCAGTGAAGCTGATAATGATTTCAACGGAATCTCTAGGAGTTTAATTCCCTCAGCTTTCTCCGATACGGATTCAACAGTTTTCAGTGCTTCTTTTAATGAAGCGATGGCATTTTGAGCTACGGCTTTTTGCTTCTCGTGTACTTCTGCAGAAACCGATGCTTGGATACTTTCAACCAGAACGGCTTGAATTTCCTCTAAAGGAGCTTGAATTCTGGCCAGTTCTGCTGCTTGCTCTTCGGAAATGTCTTCGAAAGTGTCCGGAGACTCAATCACTTTTTCCAATGTACTTTGAATGAGTTCGATCGGCTGGACAATCTGCAGAAGACGTGCGTGTTGAGGAGGAGTCAGCACAACGATTTTATGAGCCTCTGTCATTTGCTGAATAACGGTTTGTACTGAGTCTAATAAAAGCTTGGCAACAGCCTTATCTTGTCTACTCCTTTCGGCTGTCTCAGTCTTTGGCACAACATTAAATGAGCTGGTCATGGACTGTAAGGCTTGATCCAACAGCTTAATGCCTGGAGCTTCTGAGGGGCCTTGGAAAATACTTTCAACTCGTTGGTTAATGATTTGAATTGCTTGTTTAGCTCCTTCAGTTTGTATAGTTGCCAGTTCAGGCTTCAACCCCGCTTGCTTACTTTGAGAAATAAGAACGCTGAGTATTTCTAAGGGCTCTTTAATGTTGACAATGTTTTCAGCTTGAACATCACTAATATCTTGGGCTGATTCTGGTATCTGAGCTATTTTAATAATTGCCTCATTAAGTAGTTCAGTTGAATGAAGCAAGTTTGATACAGGGACAACTCCATGCACCAAGAGTTCTTCTGAGGAAGCTTTAAGCTCTTCTATTAAGGCTTGTACTGATTGGACTAAAGCTTTGACGGCCTTCTTATCGCGTCTATCTCCGGCTGCTTGAACATCAGAGCCTCCAACTTCTTCAGTCTTTAGAGGTAGACTATGCGGTTCAGTTGTTTCGTGCGCTATAAAGTTACCTTCAATCTGACTTAAAGAGCCAGAAACTTCTTTTAAAGAATTTTTGTTTGATAGCTGATCGCGTGGAGGGGGCACAATGGGACTACGGAGAGTGAATCTCTGGCCGATGGTGGTTAGGTTCTGAGAAAACCCTTGAAGAGACGTCCTTAATCTGTCAATAAGGGGAGCTTCTGTGGGAATGTCTATTGCCTTATCTACTGCAGCCTTCAGTGAACTCACCGCCATCTGCATTTCTGGCAGTTCGATTTGTTGGATTTGTGACTGAGCCATTTCTTCATTTACTTGAGTTACCACAACACATAGTTTTTCTAACGGCAAAATAAGACTCTCAATACATTGAGCTTCTGCATCAGACATAGTCAGCGATTCTTCAGACGCCAAAACATCTTCAATCAGCGACGAAAATTCAGCGGAAGTTTGCTGAATTTCTTGTGTCATCGCCATGTCTTCTTTGGAGGACTCTTTGCTTTTGTTGTTCAGAATGACAGCTTCAATGTTAAGCTTCTTGCTAAGTTCAGCAACGATGCCCAATATTTGCTTGCCTTTCTTCGGCTTTGGTTTCTCTCTGTCGGTGGTTGTTTGGTTATCATCAGCTGCTGGTTTTTCGACCAGCTCCGTGGCTGGAACAGGAGCTTCTTCGCTTGGATGTTCACTTGTTCTCAAATTTTGCTCACTTTCTTCTTCTGCCAATATTTCAGCTGTTTCGATATGAGCCTCCTCCTCTGAAGTAACGTATTGTTCGGTAACATCCTGAGAAACTTTGTCACTAATTGCTTCTTCTGAGCCTTCAATGGGTGGTTTTTCTTGCTGGGATTCAACAGTTGCTAACTGACTAACTTGACTGAGCTCTACATTTTCATCAATATTGTCTTCCATTTCCTTAGTTTGTACATCGTCATCTTTTTCACTCAATTCTGTTTTACTGTCCGACTCAATTTCAACAGCTTCCCCACTTTTATCATCAACAACTCCCTCCAAATGATGCGAAGCTCCATCAAAGATTTCAGATTTTTCTGCGCTCAATGGTTGAATTTCTTTTAGCTCTTCCTCTTCTTTGCCAGTTAATTCTAACTCTTGTGCTATCACATCTGAAATTTTAAGGTCCTGTGCAATGTCATCAGTCCCTTCAGCAATTATTTTTGCTTCTTGTAGTTTCTCTTTCTCGGTCTTTTGCTCTTCAACCGGACTTACGCTTTCAACTTGTTCCAAACCAATGACATCTTCCTGTTTTATTGTCTGTTGTGCCTCGTCTACAACATCTGGAGTTTTAAGTTCTGGTGCCAGCTCATCAGTCTTCTCCTCAATCATGATCGATTGTTGGAATTTATCTTCCTCTGCCTTGAACTGTTCAGCTTCATCCCTTTCCACTGGCTCCACAGCCTTTGCTTCTTCCGCTATTGTTGTCTTTTGTTCCACCTCCACAACATCAGGACTTTTGACTTCTTGTGCTAGGTCATCAGCCTTTTTCTCAATTATAGTTGTTTGTTGTAATTTTTCTTCCTCAACTATCTGCTCTTCAACCTGACTTACACTTTCAACTTGCTCCAAACCAATTGCACCTTCCTGTGTTATTGCCTTTTGTTCCGCGTCTTCAACGTCTTTAGCTTTATCTTCTGGTGCCCGGTCAACAGCCTTCTCCTCAATTATGGTTGCTTTTTCCAATTTCTCTTCCTCTGCCGTGAGCTGTTCAATCTGGGCGCTTTGCTCTGGCTCCAAAGCCATGGCTTCCTCCGATATTGTTGCCTTTTGTTCCACGTCGACGACATCAGGAGTTTTGATTTCTTGTGCCAGGTCATCAGCTTTTTCTTCAATTATTGTTGCTTGTTGTAATTTCTCTTCCTCGGCCTTCTGCTCTTCAACTTCTATTACGCTTTCAACTTGTTCCAAACCAATCGCATTTTCCTGTGTTATTGTCTTTTGTTCCTCGCCTACACCATCTGTAGTTCTAAGTTTCTGTCCCATTTCTTCTACCTTTTCCTCTAGCAATTCGGCTTGTTGTAATGTTTCTTCCTCTAGCTTTTGCTCCTCAACTTGACTTGCCCTTCCACTTTCCACTTGCTCCAAAGCTATTGCTTCGCCTTCTATTATTGTCTCTTGTTCTACCTTCACAACATCTGAAGTTTTTGGTTTCTGTACAATTTCATCCACCTTTTCCTCTAGCAATTCGGCTTGTTGTAATGTTTCTTCCTCTAGCTTTTGCTCCTCAACTTGASTTGCCCTTGCACTTTCCACTTCCTCCAAAGCTATTGCTTCGCCTTCTATTATTGTCTTTTGTTCTACCTCCACAACATCTGGAGTTTTGGGTTCCTGTTCAATTTCATCCACCTTTTCCTTTAGCAATTCAGCATGTTGTAATTTATCTTCCTCTACCTTTAGCTCTTTAACTTTACTTGAATTTTCCACTTCCTCCAAAGCTATTACTTCGTCTTTTATTATTGTCTTTTGTTCTGCCTCCACAACATCGGGAGTTTTTGGTTCTTGTGCAATTTCACCCACCTTTTCCTCTAGCAATTCAGCTTGTTGTAATGTTTCTTCCTCTAGCTTTTGCTCCTCAACTTGACTTGCCCTTGCACTTTCCACTTGCTCCAAAGCTATTGGTTCGGCTTCTATTATTGTCTTTTGTTCTACCTCCACAACATCTGGAGTTTTGGGTTCTTGTACAATTTCATCCGCCTTTTCCTTTAGCAATTCAGCATGTTGTAATTTATCTTCCTCTACCTTTTGCTCTTTAACTTTACTTGAATTTTCCACTTCCTCCAAAGCTATTGCTTCGTCTTTTATTTTTGTCTTTTGTTCTGCCTCCACAACATTGGGAGTTTTTGGTTCTTGTGCAATTTCACCCACCTTTTCCTGTAGTAATTCAGCTTGTAATGTTTCTTCCTCTAGCTTTTTCTCCTCAACTTGACTTGAACTTGCTACTTGCTCCATAGCTATTGCTTCACCTTCTATTATTGTCTTTTGTTCTACTTCCACAACATCTTGAGTTTTTGGTTCTTGTGCAATTTCATCCACCTCTTTCTCTGGTAATTGCGCACGTTGTAATTTATCTTCCTCTCCCTTTTGCTCTTGAACTTCACTTGAACTTTCCACTTGTTTTAAAGCTACGTCTTCTATTGTTGCATTTTGTTCTACCTCAGCACCAGGGGTTATAATTTCCTGTGCCATCTCATCCATCTTTTCCCCTACCAAATCAGCTTGTTGTAATTTTTCTTCCTCTGCTTTTTGCTCTTGAGCTTCACTTCCCACATGCTCCAAAGCTATTGCTTCATCCATTATTATTGTTTTCTGATCTACCTCTACACCGTCTGGTGTTTTAAGTTCCTGCGTCACCGAATCCACCTTTTCCTCTAGCAATTCAGCTTGTTGTAATATCTCTTCCTCTTCCTTTTGCTCCTCGACTGGACTGGAGCTTTCCACTTGCTCCAAATCTATTGCTTCGTCTTCTATTATTGCCTTTTGATCTAACTCCACAACATCACCAGTTTTTGGTTCCTGTGCAATTTCATCTACCTTTTCTTCTAGCAATTCAGATTTTTGTAATTTATCTTTCTCTACCTTTTGCTCTTGAACTTGAGTTGCACTTTCTACTTGCTCGGAAGCAATCGCTTCTTCCTGTACACCAGGAGCTTTCAGTTCAGTTGCCATGAGAGTTTCTTCCTGTTGTGTAGCAGCAGTTTCCGCACCTTCCACAATACCATCAGTTTTGTTAGATTCACCCACTTCCATGCTAAATTCTTCTGCAGCCACCGCGGGTTTTAAAGCAACACTCAATTCTACTAATCTGTACAGCATGATACGCAAGTGTTCATTTGGGTACAGTGTGGCTGCCTCTTTTTCCACGCACTCTTTCAAGGAAACGGCTGCTTGATTAAGCTCCAACAATTCTGTGGTCACAGCTTTGGTCATGATGTTCAATGCTTCTGTTAGTCGCTGAAGTGATTTTTCCTGTATTTCTGACAGACGGATGTTGGGGACCTTTGCGAGCTCCTTCAGAGTGGCATTAACCACTTTGCGAGCCTCTTTTATCTGCCCTGGTGCCAGAACTTGCTGAGAACCAGATTTCAGCTCCTTAAGAATCTGTTTCAACACTTTAAGTGAAGCGACCAGCTCTACAGCAGCTAGACTGGGTTGCTGCTCTTCAGTTGGTAAAAGTGAAGCACAGAAAGTTAGAAGCGATGAACGTAAAATTGATAGCACTGTAACATCGGGTGTTAGTGGATGGCTTACTTCCAAAGTTTGTCTTAGTGCTAGTGTTGTCTGCTTGATTTTGCCACTGTCCATTTCAACGTCGTGGGATTTTTGCTGCTCTTGTGATAAGAGAACTGTCGAAAGCTGTTGTAAAGCTTCAACAGTACTTGCGACTATTGGAGCTTCATCTGGCCTGAGCGCTTCAACTGCTTCCAAATTCTTAAGCGTTCCACTAAGAGTTTCAGTTGATTGTTGCAGCTGTTGCTGGGATAGCGCTCCCTGCTCAGGGGAGGATTTCAGGTGCTCAATACTTTGTTGAAGTGTCTTCAATTCATTGACTATTTGATGCAATGGTTCTGCGCGTGCAATCTCAGACAAAGATGCGCACAAAGATTGCAGCGAAGGTTCTACTACAGATATAACTGTTGCTTCCGGTGCCGTTCCCTTGGTTAGGGCTTGTTTGACCGCAAGAATTGCTCGGGAGAACTCCGGTTGATCGACGTCGGCTACTAAAGGCTGCCACAGCTCCTGCGGAGCCTTGACTATGATTGCTGATAAACGTTGCAACGGCTGAATTATTGTTAAAATTACTTCATTGTCGTGCTGCGAAACTGTTTCAACTTCTTCGGCAGTTTGCTTCAAGTCTCTTAGAGTCGCGTCGACCGTGTTAAGACACTGCGCTAGATGTTCTCCCGTTATGACTCCTCGCTGCGGTTTTACGCTGATGTCTTCAACACTTTGTTTTAGAACTTTTACTTCTTTGATGAGTTCCTTTATTGGCTTAAAAGACTCAGATTTTTCGATACTTTCCAAACTAGCTGCTAGAGCTTTGAGAGGCAAATCCATAATTTGCAGCTTTTGACCTGGGGGAAGTTCTTCGATTGATTTCCTAACAGCCATTATTGCCTGGTGCATTTTAAGGGGCTGAGACTTCAACTGGGGATGTAGAAGATGTTCTCGTGCCTCCACAACTGCTGCTGCCAATCGTCGCAGTGGCTGAACCAGCTTGGTTGTGGCTAATGCTAATTCGAGGTCTTCTGGAATGCTGGATATCTCTTCCAAAACTCCTTTTAGCGAGGCTAAGTCGATGTTGGTTATGGACATGGCAGCCTGTTGTTCTTCTACTGAAGCCACATCTCCTAATGTCTGCTTAAAAGCTTCTATCTCACTGGAAAGCTGCTGAACAGGTTCATATAAGACTGGAACTTTTGGAGCAACAGGAAGAGGCTTACTGAAGCTGCTTCTTATACTCACGAGAGTTTGCGAAAATTTGGACAGAGGCGCTAGCAAAGCACTGAAAGTAGCAGATTTGGGGCTTGTGCTGGTAATGTTATTGATGGTCTCCTGCAAAGTGACTACAGCCTGTTGAACTTCCGGTGCTTCCACGGGGACAACTTCCAAAGTTGATATTTGCTCACTAGTTTGATTGATGATTGCGCATAATTTTTCCAAAGGCTGCACTAAAGTGGTGATATTAGTAACTTCCTCTTCAGACATTTCCAATGCTGCAGCTTCGCTATTGGCCAACTCATTCAATGTGGTGCACAGCTCGGCCACGCCCTCTTCAATTTGACCAGCCAACGAAAATGATTGTTCTTTGTGCGACTCCTTTGACTTGCCGCCTAATATCACAGCCTCAATGTTGAGCTTCTTGCTCAATTCGGCCACGATTCCCAATATTTGTTTGCCCTTGGAGGGAGCTTTCACTTTTGAAACTTCAGTTATTTGTGTATCAACTGATGACTGTTGTTGATCATTTTTTGCCGCAGTTTTTGGCAATGCTGGGGTTTCTGGTTCATCCTTCGATTGGTCAGTTTCGGCTTTAGTAACGTCTGCACTTACAGCCTCCCTTTCTGCCTCTGGTTTGCTGGAAACTTCTCCTTGTTCCCTTGGAGCGTCTTCAACTTGAACTTTTTCCTTATGTTGAAGTGTTTCTGGTGCACTAACTTCAGCTGGTTCATTTTTTGGTTCAATTTGAACTTCGCGCTGCTCTGTTGGCAGCACTTCAACTGTTGTCTGTGTTTCTACAGGCTGTACGATTTGCTGTGGGATTTCTTGGCTCGATTCAATCGTTGGCAATCCAGCTTCGTCTTGCAAAAGACTTCCTTCGCTCTCTTTGAGGGCTTCATCTTTAACTTCTTCTGGCTGGATGGTTTTTTTGTCAGCTTCCTTGCTAGATTCAATTGCAGAATCTGTCACCTGCAGGGATTCACTTGATACTACTTCAACCCCACCCGGGGTTTCGACTTTAAGTTGCCTCTCACCAACTTCTGGCATCCCTTCAAGTTCTGTTTGGAGTGTTTCAGTTACAGTTCCAATTTCACCTATTTGTGCAGCAGCTTCAGTAATCGGTTCGGGAATTATCTCTCTTGGTGCTGGTGGTTCTTTAGAAATTTCCTTTTCACCGTCAATGTTTGCAGCTTCAATTTGGACCGGGCTTTCGGGTTTCTCATCGGCTTCTTTTAAATCTGGAGCCTCTAGTGAAAGGGACGACTGGGCTTCGTGTGGAACGACCTCAGCTTCCTTCGCTTCTGTTAGGTGGGCTTCTTTCGCTGCTTCCTCTTGAGTTTGGATAGGGACTTCAGCTTGTTCTGGAGCTTGCTCAGATTGTACAAGTACAGTCTGATCAGTCGTGGTATCCAGAATTTGCTGAATAATTTCTGTTTGTGCTACGGCTCTCTGCACTTCAATTTGCTCAATTATGTCTTTGTCTTGATTTGTTTTAGCTTCGGCAACTTGAGTGTGCGTCTCCCGTATGTTTTCTGCTGCTACTTCACCTGTAGGAAGCGTTTCGCCTGGTTCTGCTTCTGCTTGTGGTAAAATTGCTTTGTCGTCAACTTCAGTTTGTTTGATTTCTTCTGCTAAAGTTGTTGCGATTTTTCCTTCGTCGTTTTCCTTAACTGCTTGCTTCTGCTCTGTCGAAGCTGATTCATCTGTAGCTTCAACAAGCTTAATTTCTAAAACTTCTTCCTTCGGGAATTCGGCATGATCCGATGAAGACAACTCCAATGATACACCGACAATTTCATCCTCTTTCGCAACAATAGTTTGTTCTCCTTCTGATACTCTGAGTACATTTTCGTCCCCAACTGTTTCAGGTAAACTTTCTAGATTTCCTTCTTTAATTATACTTTGGACTTCCTCCAGAACTTGTCCTTCGGCAATCGCAACTTGTTTGTGAACTTCTTCAAGCCGCAACGTTTCTGCTTCTGTTTCAATGCTTGAACTTAAACCTGGTGGTTCAATATGTTTTACATCTACTGCCAGATTTTCTTCAGCATTTTCCAATGTGGCTACTAAAGCTTTAAGTTTAATTTCTACGGTTTCAACTGCCTGCGCTTGGTTAGTAATTCTCTGCACCGTCTCTTTGAGTGCAAGGACAGCGTTTAGAAATTCTACAGCTTTAAACTCCGAAATTTCAATTCTAGTTGCTTGGCTGAGAACAACATCAAATTTGTCCACAGGAAGTTTTAGTGCTTCCGCAATTTGCAAAGTTTCTTCACTTGCTTCTGCTAAATCGGCTGTTGCCTCCAAAGCAACTTGCAGCTCTGCTATAGATTCTCCCACTTTAATGACTGACAGGACTCCCTGCTGAAGCTCTGGTTGCAATTTCTCGCTTTTCATCTTCAATGCTTCAACCTTTTGATGTATTGTAGTTAAGGGCTTCAGTAAATCTCTTAAAGTTCCTTTATCGCCCCCAGAAGGTCCTGCCTTGGATAGGTCCCTATCCTCATTTTGAACAGTTAAGTCTTCGGCGGATTGGCCTTCTTCTGGGGCTCCTGCTGCTCCAGTTGCACTGCTTAAAGCGGCCGAAAGTGCACTTAGGGAAACATCCAGAATGATCGGTTTTTCTGCAGTTTGAGAAACTTTGTCTACGACAATTTTCAATTCCAATATAGCACTTTTCAACTGGTTCTTTTGAGATTCTTCGAGTCTCTCAATGTCTCCTGAAATCTCCTCTAGAGCAGTGTTTAGCTTCTCAACGGGGGCTTTAGTTTCTAGGGCTATTGCCTTCAATGTCGCTTCGTTTGCTTCAGGGCCGCTCGCTGCTTCTTCCAGCGATTTTTTCAAGTCATTCAATGCACCAGAAACTCGAATAACTGACTCAACTGCTTGCTCGGGAACCAGCTGCAATTGGGTGAATTTGCTTTGCAGGGTTGCAACATTTTGGGAAATCTGCTCGATTGGTTCCAATAAGGGTTCGATTGTATTCAAAGTAGCGGAAGTTGGCGCTTCTTCATTTTTGAGCAGTGTCTCAAGCTGGGATAACGTAGCAGTGACTGCTTGCAAAGGCAACCCGATAACTGGTAGCTGAGTGCTGTGAGGCACATTTTCAATTGCTTCCTTTACAGCCGAAATTGAGGTGACTACTTGCACTTTGGTACTTTCCTTTGGTTGGTCAAGCTCATGAGACACCTGCCTGACCAATAAGGCTAGACTTTGGATTGGGGCGCCTATTTCTGCGACAACGGCTGATTCTTGTGCCAAAGCTTCCGGATTTAGATTAGAGGAATTTTCGACGGCATTTAACAGTTCGCCCACTGTATGTTCCAGAAAAGTAATTGCCAAAACTCCTGGCTGAGCCTTCGTCGACGACTGTTCCGCTTTGTGTTTCAAAGCCTTCAGTTCTTCGTGCAGTAGTGTGAAGGGTTTTACGACACTTTCTGCACTTGGAGAAGTTGCTGATGTTTGCAACTGGCCAAGTTTCTCACATATGTGTTCGATTTTCACATTCAGCAACTTCAACGGTTCTTGAATATATTCCAAAGCCGGACTGGACTTTGAGGTAGTAATTGTTAGCGCAGTATTTCTTAGCAAATTCAATTCGGGGATTGCTGTTTGTGGAAATTTCTTGTCGGCAAAACTGAGCGTGTCAACGCATTGGAAAATCGTCTTCAGCTCAGCAGTCATTTTGGACACGTTGTCTTTGTCGCAGTCCTCAAACTCTCCCACCAAGTGGTTTGCGAACAAATTCAGAAGGTTTTGCTGGCAGTCTTGCAGATAGTCCAACGGCTCCAGAAGCTCCAATAGAAGAACTAAATCAGGTGCGTCGGTGCACACGTCTTTGATAAGGCCGCATAGCTTAGATGTTTCGATTTGGTTGTCGCGCAATATGCTCAGATCTAAGTCTTTGGCGTCGGGTTCCTGCTGGGCTACCGGCAAATCCTGTTCTAATTGCTCAATTTTGGCTGTAAGCGACTTGAGCGGTTCAAGAGCGTATGCCTGTAACTTGAGCTCGGGTTTCTGTTCAATTATCTTGATGGCTTCTTTGAAGCCCTGAATAGCTTGGTGAAGCTCCGCGTGTTCCAGTTCTGTTATCACTGGCTTATGCAGCACGGTTTTTACAATCAGAAGCGTTTTGGACAGCTTTTTCAGAGAGGTGTCGATGACACTGAAAGCTTCCTGTAAAGCCGGTTCTTCTTGAGCGACTTTCGCCACTTCTTCGGCTAGTTGTTCCACTGGTTCCAGTAGTTCCAAGCACGTAATTAGAGCAGTTGATGCATCTGGTTGTTGTTCCACAATATCAGCTTCCATCGCCTTCAAGTCCTCTTTAATTGCACCAACGGCTTCCTTCAGGAGATTTTGGGGGTTTTCAACAGTTTCGGCACAAAGGCTTCGATTCAACTCTTCCAGGCCTGTGACAATGTTGCCCAGGTGGTTTGCAATGATGTTTTCTGATGGAATTTGCAGCAAGATTTCCAACGCGTTCTGCAGGTTGGAAACTGAAGCACTTTGGCTTGACTTGAGAGCATTCAGCAAAGCTTCAAGCTGGCTTCTGGAAGCTTCAACCACTTCCAATATAGTTTCCGGGTTTTTTTGGTCTCTAAAACCACCAGCAAGAGCCTTCAGTGGTTCCAAGATGCCTAGTAGCTCTTTGGTGTTTTCAATGCTTGCCTCCAAGCAATGGCCAGCGACAATAAACCTATTGAGGGTGTTTCTTAGGGCTGTTCGTCCAGCCAGCTCTCGCTGCATTACCACAATCGCCTTGGAGATGTTTTCCAATGGAAGAAGCAGTCTTTGCAGGACCGACTTATCCCTATCGGCGACCAGCACTGCTTTCATGCACACTGTGATGAGCTTATTTTGCAACAAGTCGATATCATCAGAGAAGTCTTTGATATCCAGGTTGCTGACATCTCCTGTGGAGCTGGCGGACATTTTCTTCAGCCGAGCCGCAATATCCCGAAGCAAAACCATTTCCGCCTCAATTACCTTGGAACCCAAGCAATCATTTAGAGCCATTTGCAGCTCTTCTAAGGGCGTTACAAAGTTTTCAAACAAGTTCAAGTTGCCGTCTGATATATGTTTAGCGACTACGACAAAGCTCAAGAAGTCTTTTAAGGAATTGTTTAGTTCGACCAATGGAGTGATGTCGGTTGAGGCCTGTGACTTCTCAACGACAAGATGCGTTAAGTCCAAAGCCCCTCGAAGCTTTTCTAGAGACTCGTTAATGGACTCTGCTAAGGTTTGCTGGGCTTCCGGAGCTTTCAGGGCCTTAGCCTGTTCGTTGATGGAAATAATGTCCGTTAAATGGTCGTTCAGCAATTGCAACTTTTCACTTAGATTGTCGTTTAGGTTATCACTGACCCCTTCAATAGACTCCGACAGTTTTTGCAGGCTGTCCAGTTCCTGGTTGGTGACAATGTCCTTAGAAGATTGCTGGCTGATCGTTTCGGCAATATTCTTCAAATGCTTTTGCAGCTTTTCGTCAATAAAGCTCTGGATAGCTGGATTGTCGGCAGTGCTCAACTGCTTGTCGAGCTTCTGCAGTGATTTACCCAGCTCGTAAAGGACATGCTCTTTCTTGTCGCGCTCCTCTTGATCGGTAAACAACGCCCTCTCCAAAGCCTTTTCAATGCTTTTCAAGATGTCTTGCAAAGGGTCGATGAAGTCCTTGATCTGGGACTCTTGGTTTATGCAGGCGAGCAATATCTTCAAATTGTCGCGGGCCTCATCCAGGATGAGAATCTGGTCTTTGGATGGTCTATATTCAATTTCCTCGACAATAGTAAGGATCTTATGCACGGCGTCATTGGTGGTTTTCAGAACATTGAGGTCAACAGACCCAAGCTTGTCTTTCTTCTCTTCCAGGATGGTGCTAGCAATGAACTGCAGCGTTGTCACTGGTCTGGGTATTTCAGTAATCAGGATCTTCCTCGACTTATTTTCTGAACTTGGTTCAGAAACTGATAGAGACTCCTGAAGGTTTCTTAAAGAGTTTTGCAAATACTGTAGGGGCTTGCAAGGGGCAGTTGGAGGAGGAGTTTCAGGCTTAAGCAGATTCAGCACATTGTCGACCATGGCCTCAATAATCTCCCTAAGAGGCGTCAAGTTGGATTCTTGAGGAACGCTTTGAATTGCCACTTTGAATTCCTGTGTTTTTTCTGATATACTCTGACTAGGTGCTCTTGATGTTGGCCGTTTAGAGAAGATTTCAAGATATTCCTGAATGATGCCCAAACAGTCGTTAGTTAAATCAACCACTTTCTGTTCAACATCGACTTGAACCTCAATTGAGTTTAAAGTTTCAACGAGCTTAATGCATGCGTCGTCTATGTTAGATAAATTGGTAAGTTTTGCTTTAGATAATTTATCCGATTTCAGTTTCGCAATGCTTTCGCTTATCAGCTGCACAGATCTGGTTATCTTCGACTTGAAATCCTTCTCCAGTGCAATGGACTCCATCAAATTAACGACGTTCTTCATTGTTTGCTCCAAAGGCTCGATTGTTTCACGCACTTTGGAATCTTTTGCCGTAGCCACTACGGCCAGGCGCAGGTCTTCAATCATTTTCTTAGTTGATTCTATGGAAGGAACAGCCGCTGCCTCAGCCTGTTCAAGAGCGGTGGCTTGATCTTGATATTTAATCAGGTTCTGAATTTCTGACAAGGTTTTGTCAGCTATGGCTAGAGCGCTTTGATCCTGTGTAGTTAGATTTGCTACTTGCACAGACTGCAAAGTGACCTGCAACTGTTTGGCGTCAGCTAAGATCGATTTCTCCAGCTCATGCACAGCCGTTCGCTTTTCTTCTGATAACGGCTGGTTTTCTATAATTGAAATTGAGGACTGGAGAGATTTTAAAGACGAAAGCATTGCAGGGTCCTCTCTGGGAATGTTGGCTTCCGCAGAAGCTTCAGGAGCAGCGGATTCTTCTGCAGCTTCCAATATGTCAGAGATGCATACATCTGCACCTCTTTCACTTGTTATGGTCTCGACTTCTGCAAGTGTTTCCCCAATGAATTCATTGGCATCAGCATTGGGTTTTTCTGAAACCTGCTCAATTTGGTCTGGGGAAGTCAGCGTCGATGCAACGATTTCCTTTACCAAATCAGCACTCTCTTCAAGATGTTCGTCCGCTGGCTCTTCATGCGGGCCGGAAGAAATCGGTTCCACAAAAATATCCTCTTTTGCTTCAATGGTTGTTTCTTCTCTACCCTGGGGAGTATTTAAGCACGCGCTTGGAAGCTCCAGCTGAGTTTCAGCGCTCAGAATCTCTACCTGCTCTGAGGAAATGTTTTCTTGTTCCTGTTGGAGTGCAGGAATACTGGCCAGTTCGGGGGTTTCGATTACTGCATCAGAAATTTGAGTAGATGCATTTTCATCAGTCAGTTCCAATGAAGTTTGAAGAGCCAACTGCTCATCTTTGACTTCAGTTGATTCCTCTGGAGCTAGAACTGGGCTAGATTGAAGCAAAGGTACATTATCGACTATTTGTGTGTCTAAAGCAGCGACTGCTTCATTTTTCGGAATCGAGCCTTCTGCTTGTTCCTTTTCTTCTTTTTGTTTCTGCAAATATTGTGCAACTCGTCGGCACGTCTCCAAGATGTTTCTGGACACAGTAATCACTGGCCCTTGTTTTCCTTCTAACTTAATCTCAATCGCATGGGCTTCAGGCTCCACCTCCAGAACATGCGATTCTTTGAAGGCCTTAATTGCTGTTTCTAAAAGCAACCTTGAATCTTTCACAATATTCTTTTCTTCCTCGTTGAAATATGTTTCACAACCCTTTTGGTATTCTTCCAAATTGGTATCCACTGTTTGCAGATCAGAATCAATGGCCACGTCACTTTGGGATTCCATAGTCCGCTCAATTCGAGCTAGAGGTTCAGCGACAAGTATTTTAGCCATTTCAGTTTTCAGCTCTTCAGCATGGGATTCCTCCAAAGCATCGGCAATATGAGGAAGCTCCACAATGAGAGTGTTCAGCTGAGCAGTGATGGTTTTGATGGGCGAACTATCGCCGACAGTTTTAACTGCTCGATTTAGGATGTCTAGAAACACCATGATCTGCTCTTTCTGAACTGGAGCTGCGAATTCTCTAGTGTTCAGTTTACTGGTTATGAAAGCTTCGACGTCTTCGAATATTTTTGAGGTGTTCTCTAAGAACTTGAAGTCGCTGTCCGAAAGGTTGGTCTCAATTAGATCGTTGATGGCCATCTGTAGTGGATAGAGAGACTTTTGAAGTGCCAAGATTCGTTCAGGATCAACGTTTTTGCCCTTGATGGCTGCCACACTTTTTGCCAGGGTTTGCACTGACTCGGACACTAGTTGGATGTTTTGGAGCTTTAGGAAATACTTCTCGGCCTCCTGCTTCTGGATTTCCTTCAATCCGTATAAGGCCTTATTGATTAGCAAGTTGACGTGCTGAACTAGCTGAGATTTCGTTTCAAAGACTTTATAATTGTCCAAGAAATCGGCCACTTCACTTGACACCTCTGTGCATGTTCTGGAAGTGCTCTTAATGAAGGAGATCAGTTTGGAGATGATTTCCTGTGCATTAAGCACAAATTCTAAATCCGATTGTGAAATGGATTCCAGCGGGGTCGATGCTACATCCATCTGGATAACTGGCACAGTGAAGCTCAGATCGTCAGCCAAGGTTCTTTTTTCTTTGTCAGTGTCTTTGCTCTTAGCCAATTCCTTCAACTCTGCCAAAGATCCTTCCAGAGACTTAATAACGTCCTCCTTAGCTCTATAATGGAGAAAGTCATGCAAACCATCATCAACTGATTGAATCAGTTCCGATATTTGGGGAATATTGGCTTTGTAGGACTGCAACGGCTCTAACAGAGCATCGGGGAAATTCGTAGTGTCCAGCATGTTGCAAAGAGCGTCGTTTATAAATTCCAAGAGTTGCTCTACTGCAGCTTTGTTGTCGCAGTTTTCTAAATTTTGCACACTCAAACTGCTTTGTAGTTGCTGGATAGTTGCGACGATTTGATGGCTCACGTTGGCTTCTTTAAGCTTCTCCAAACACTGGGTTAGCTTCTCCGTGGATGGCACAAAGCTTTCCTTCGGCTGTAGAGCTGCGGTAATGCTTTGGGACAAAGCCTTGACTTCATCGCCCAACTCGGGAGGTACGTTGATGTTTTCCAGAACGACTTTCGCTTTCTTCAAGCCCTGCATGGTATTGCTGTCCTCATGAAGACTAGTGGCGAGGTCTTTTTCTTCGCACATAGCCTGAGTCAGCTCCTCCACGGTTTCCAAGACAGTGTCGATCTCAGCAGTTTGTTCGGGAATATCCTGCCAAATAGCCGACTGCACATTTTCCAAAAGATGGCTGATATTTCCCACTAGAGGGGTTTGGATATCCGCTAGTTCCAATTCGATGACATACGCTTTGACTTTTTCAAGCTTCTTCACGCGTTGCTCTTTAACAGCGATGGCTTTGCTCAGTTCCACTAAGGCTTGCTGGATGTTTTCCATCGGGGAACTGAATAGTGAGGGTAGTTGAAGGTCTTCCACAGCCGTTCTTACACTTTCAGCTGTTCGGTTAATATCCTGGGACGTTAAAGCAGGCGCCAGGGAAATTTCAGTTGCCACTTGTGATAGGCTTTGAACCAAAGTTTCGACTTTTTCTACACTTTCTGGGTCTGCATTAGCTTCAGCCGTAGATACAATATCCATGAGGCTCTTGATTAGAGCATCTTTTTTTAGCACGGAGCTGCCTTCGACTAGTTCGATAGCCCGTTTCAAATCGGGAATGTTTCTGGGGTAAACTGAGGTCGAACCCTGTTCAGACTCGATCTCTGAGACGATTTTAAATAGTGTGATGGTTGCCCTTTGGACTGGAACGATTAAATGGGAAATCAATTTTGAGGCGTCCACAGCCAGAAGGTCATTTACTACTTCCTGAAACTCTTCCACAGGTATCGGCTTTTCCGACTGGTGGTTCTTGAGGACTATTTGAACGGCGCGGTTTAAGCTCTGTAGAGCTGTATCAATGCTGGTAACATCTGTTTCTTTTATGTCGCTTGAAGCTTGATCCAAAGACAGCAATAGTTCTGAGATCTCGGTTAGTAGAACTTGCCTCTCAGCCAGATCTTCAGCTTGTTGGAGCTGCTCCAATGTTTCGTTCAATGGCTCCAGGCTTTTAAAGCACAACTCTTCTTCCACTATTGCATTGTCCTGCGAAGCAGAGGCAACAGGCGCTGTTTCGGACGAACTCGCAAACTGGCTAGTTACTTGTTCGATGGAATCCGCAAACTCTCTTACGGCGTAAACTATGTCCATCAGGCTGAGTGTTTCCATGTTATCAAGAACGTCTATCAGCGAGGCATTACGTTGGGCGAGGTCAGACGCGATTGGCTCAAAGTTATTTATGTTTTTGTTAACAATGCACTGCACAAGCTCGGCTATAGCATCGCCGATGACCCTCAACTGTTCGAAATCCTCGATTTGGATTTCGAAATTGTGCTGCTCTAAGCTGATGATTTCGATTGCATTTTGCAAGGGCTGATGGAGGGTGAAGAGCTGAATTTTTAAGTCCTCTGGAACGTGTTCCAGGATTTCAGCAATCTGAATAAGTGGCTCGCGAATGGCTATGAACGCTTCGCGTCTTAGTTCATCGTCCTTCTGCATGTTATCAATTGTCAAGCTCAATTTTCGCAAAGGTGCAGATAAATTGCGGATTTCAACGATATCTTCAATAGTCATAACAGGCACGTCCTGTTGCTCGGCGAATAAAGGCAATTGCTTTAATTTATCTACGCATTGGGTCACCTCCGAGGCGACCTATGAGGCAGTTTTAGAAAAAATGGCCTTAAAAAACGCTAAGAACTTACCTGGAACAACTCGGGAGGAACTTGCTCCATGCCTTGTGCCATTGCTGTTTCGTAAAGCATGCCTAAGTTTTTCTCCAGTTCTGACACGTTTTCGATTACGGCTCTAATGATCTCGGGCGAAGCTGGAATTTCATTAATTTATTACTAAGCTTTATGGGTGCGTAATAGGGATGGTCGGTATTTAACGTAACAGATAAAATAACAGTGTTCCAAACGTGTAACCTGGAACCGTATTTACAGCTAGACGATTTAACCGGTTGTTTTTGGAACCGTCTCGTAAAACCTGAAAAAGCAGTTTGCGGCGGCAGAACCGATGCCGCTCTATCCAGTTGCAGCAGTTTCAGTAAATGTTATCCATTTTTAAATGAAAAGATTTTTAACATTTTCCCATATAAACGGTATATTTTATTTAATCACTCTAGTGTCCCTATTATCACTCTTTTGTACTTTAAATAGTTACTTCTGACCCATGTTTTGTTTTTTAATTTAAAATATTTTATTTTAAATTTACCAATATTAAGAATTATGTTTTTCATAAAGGAAAACATTATATATCATCACTATTGCTACTATCATCATCATTGTGCATTTGTAATGAAAAATTTAAAAACGAACATGTTCCTTTTGGAACAGAATTTTGGAACCTATTACCAATGTGAACTGGAACATTGTAACAGAAAAATAACCGTTTGTCACACCTTAAGTGCGTAATAATTTAACTTACTCGAAAGCTCTTGCTGGGTTGTTTCCGACATAAACGGCAGGTTTTGCACTGAAGCCATTGACCTCTTCAGGCTTTCTAAGTGGTGGATAGAATCTCTTCTGTCTAAAGAGAGAGCTGAGTGTGAACGGCTTGTAGCTAAATTGAATGCGGAAATACTTCTTACCATTAAATGGAGTTTCGTCCAAAACTTGTTGGTGCATGACTGCCACATTGTACTGCAAATGTTCCAACAGATTCTTCAGTTGCGATCTCTGCGGTATACCAGGGGTGAGCATCACAAAGTCTAACGCCTCAATAATACGATCTTCGATCATTTCCAAAGGAACCTGTATGGAACGTGCCGGTAATGAAGTCTCCGAGTTAGATCATGAGAAAAAAATAAGTCAAAGAGCTTAAGCTAAAGCGACTATGAAAAATGTCTGTCTGGTCAGAAATAATCGCCATTTACATTTACCTTAAGGAATCAAAGTAAACTCGGCAAGTCTTACCACACAATGCTGCAGTCGAATGCGATCTTCTTCTGTAAGTTCAGCTTTGGCTTTCCTCAGCAGTTCTTCATTTGAGATTTCATACAAGGCTATGGCGTGGGGCAGCAGAGGCTCTAAAACTAGTTGAGCGCCCGGATCTGCCGATATTCTTTGCAAATCTGTTAGAGTGCGTCGGGTGTCTTCCAACAACGTATCGGGTACCTTAGCATGATTTTTTAATTTTATGCTATTCAAAGAGATACTTTCACTTACTACTGTGGTTGAAGAATCGTCCAATATCACCACCACGTTTTCTTCAGATTCCCGATCCTCGCTAAAGATTTGAGCCGGCTGACTTTGCTCGCTTAGCTCGGAAATGCTCTTTCGTACGCTATCAACTCTTTCCTTCAGTCCTGAGTAAACTTCTTTCAATTCTCCTAAAAAACACATGACGCTTGAGGAAGATCAATCATAAAAATGGTGGGTGGACACTGTAGAGAGATCAGATCCTCTTCAGCTTTAGCTAGGATGATTAAGTTGTTGCGCACTCACCTGGCTCCAAAGTGGCTTGGTCGGAGGTAATTCCATCTTCAAGTATACTAAGGACTACACCACAGTCCACTAAAGCAGTCACATTGCTGGATGGTGTTAAATCGGTGACAAAATTGTTGAGCAGATTGATGTGTTGGCTCATATTTTCAAGCGATGACACGACAGTCTCATTTCGGTGCTCTCCAGCCTGGAAAAAAGGCACTTTTGTATAGTAAAGTTTATTGGTGGAAACTGCTGCTCGCGCCCTTTGTTTAAACAAGAGTCTTTGGAAGTTCGAAGTTGGCCTTTAATTTTTTCTTCGGGGACTTTCCCCCCGGGTGAAAATATCTTCTACAAGCTCCAAAAACTATGCGCGAAAGGGAATTAGACGATTTGTGCATCAAAGCACCTCAAGTTCCCCATTTACAAAAAACGGAAAAATGTGTTAATTGGTTTATCCTTCTAAAAACCGGTCTTAATTTCAGATTTTCAACAGGTTAGAGAAACTTGAATACCACATGGTTTACAGATTCCATARGCTGTAGCCAATCGGTTTGATTGCAAAAAATTGCTTGAAATAATTGGAAAATTGCCAACAARAACAWGAAAATARCAGAAGAACTTTGGAAACTGTTTAATATGACATAAAAAAATGAACGGGGTTGGAAAGRTCYTGAGGGTGCCTAAGGTTGGCGCATTTTGAAAKCTACYCTTGCCTATTTCAAAAGCTCATGACGTCTCTGCTGAAAGCTTTTCATTGTTCAATAAAAAAATRTTTATGAGTTTATMAAATTCTGTAAAAATTGGGAAACACACCRACTGATATCGAAGAAGTTTGTCGCGACTGAACAGAACGCCAATCTTTTCATTTGAATATGAACGAAAAATGTTCAAGTCGCCCGTAAAAAGCCCATATAAAAATTATAAAGCACACTGAAGAAATCGCACCCTTAGACAGATATAACGAGAATCGATCGAAAGGAACTGTTTATTTACATTCACGAAAAAATCTTCCAAAATTCACATCCAGATTGAATGAAATGTAATTCCAATCGAATCAAAATCACTTCGTTTCCGGAACAAAATCAAACAAAATTTAATGAGAAGCGAACGGAACAAACTGTTCGAGGAAAAAGCCTCCTAAAAATCGACGTTTGAAAAAATAGGACAGCAAGAAGTTAATGAACTCTTGATATACCACAAAAATGGCAAATGTAGACAACACGAATCCATTTACAATAAAAAAATTATCAATTCTATTAAGTACAGCATAGAAAACAACCCACTGAGTTTAATGGAAATCTATAGTGATTTTCAACAAGGAGTGTCTTCCAAATGAGAAAAAATACAGTTTAATACGAGTATGACATCAACAAAGCCTTAATAATGAAGAAACCTTTTCTGCCATTTGTTTAGTGTAAAATGATCCAAAAAAGTTCAAATAGTTCGTAAAAAGTACCTTATAAAATATTATAAAGCAAATGCACATAACACAAGTGTACGAGAAGGAAAAGTACCAAAAACTGCTGCGTTTCCTAGACGAAATCGAAGAATATTAACGAAAATTGATCACGATCTGAAGAAAAAATCTTTCTGATAGTCGACGTTTGTGCTTAATAATTAATTAGACTCAAAAGTTCTCTGTCTTATTTTTTTCTAGTTTTTTAGAAGTATCACAGAAAACAGCAAAAATTCACCAAAAAAAAATGAACAAAAGAAAATCCAGTGAGAACGAAACCAATAAAAAACTTATTCAGATTGTTGCAAATCAGATTTTTGGAAAGCCCTGAACGTAACAAGGAATAGCTTCTAAATGGGGAAAACACTATTGAATATAAAAAAAACATTCAAATTGTTCGTAAAAAGCGTAAATAAGAAATCTACGTATTCACGTAGACACAAAGTAGGCACACCACTGGATTCAGCAGCTCAAAACACATGAGAAAATATATATTTTAAAACAAATTCTCAATGATTGTGGTCGTTACAGGCCAATTTAGTGTCTTTTTTACTCATTTTTCGAATTTTTCCAGTATTTTTGCTCATAACTCTTTTTTGGCAGTACTTATAGAAAAACTGATAGTCGGTTTCATTCGATTTAGCAGGTCAAAATGCGCAAAAAATGCTTCAATGATCAAAATCCGAAATTTTCCGGTTTTTAGAATGATCGAGCACGTTATTTCCATATAACATTTATAGGAAACTTGAAGTGTTTGGAGTCATTCAAAGTCCAATTCCTTTTTACCCATAATTTTTTAGAGCCTTTTTGAGTTTCAGCCGGGAGAAAGTCCCCGAAGAAAAAAAATGAGGTCCGGCCTATTGTGCCCACTTCGATCGAGCACGGAACTTATTTTATCGCGGGTTCGGTTTATTTAGCCAGTAGGTCACTGTGTTGGCGCATTGTTGATTGGAGTGAAATATTTTCAGTGTCCACATTACGAGAAAGGTGAATTTCTTAAATTCTTATTGTTCTTAAGATCTTTTAATTTGTACCATTTTTGAATCTCCGCCAATTATCTAAGACTGGGCATCTGGAAAATATTAAACCACGCAACGCCGGTGATTGTACTCACCTTTTCAACGGTAGAAGCTAAGTCTTTCTGGAGAGTAGCCAGTTGTCGTAAGGCTTCTAGCAAAATAGTGTCACCAATATTACGTTGAGTGGTTTCAATGTTGAATAACAAATCGGCCACTGCTTGAGACGTATCGGTAAACACAATTTGGCTAACTTGTTCGAAGACATCTTTGAAAATTTCCTGCGATCGTTCCTCCTGCTGCTCCGAAGATAAGCTTGTGGGTTCCGGAGTGCCAACGTTTGCTTGAATCCTGTGGAGTAATTGGCGCAGTTTTTATTTTATAGCGTTTCCCTAATCCTACACGCACCTTGTAATGGAAGTGATGATGTCTTCGATGGCACCAGCAAAAGTTTCCAGAACATTCATGGATATGACTCCAGAGTGTCTATCTCCAGGCTCTTGATTTTTTATCACGTTTAAACCGCGCGATAGCTCACCAATCGGTACAGAGGTTTTGTCTAAAATTGCTAGGCGAATTTCCTGCGACATCGACTTTTCTCCAGCATATCGCAGAGCCTAAATTATTATAAACAATTCACTTCTGTGCCCAACAACGCATCACGAAAATATTACCTGCTTTTCTGCTACTTTTAATTCTTTAAGCAAATACTTTATGGGCTCTGAGAGTTTCTCCAAAATGGCCTCATTGAGGTGACTGTACATTTGATCTGGGTCTTCGTAAGCAACTGTACGCTCTAGGCTTTCCAGTTTGTCTGAAAATTACAAAAATCAATCTTAAGTTTGCATCAGTTAAAACATACCAAATCATTTTCATCATTGAACTGTCCTGATACTAGTTTCAAAACGATGTTTCATAAATTGGTAGGCTTCATATTCATTGATTCATTATTTAAGTTTAAAAAAAAATTTCACCTTTAATCTGCAAAGTTGGTGTTAAAAACTTCATCAAAAGATCGGCATCTTTGGCTGAAGATGACTGTTCCGAAGCACTCGACTCCGGATCTTGCTTATATTTGCCCTCTCTGATAATCAAATCGGTCTTTATCAATTCGTTTCGAATCTCCTTCAAAGTGATGCAAACTTCCTGAGTGATTTTCGATGGAGTGATTCGTCCTGATGCTTTAGTCCGATCTAGCTCTTTTTCTAGTAGCGTAATTTTCTCAACGTTATCTAAACTATGCATCAACTGATCTCCCACATTTTCCAGAATGCTGTTGCATGTTTTCTGGATTAACGTGTGCTCTCGTCCTTTCATCGCTACGCACTTTTCTACAACACCTAAGCTCTTTTGCAGGTCGAATATTGGAGGCGCCAGCAGCTCAACTATCGAGATTTCTTGAGAACTTGTAATCTGCAGATAACATCAATTAACTTTTCCTGATGATTTTCTCCTCTTTTTATATTACCTGTGCCCCTTCCTTTTGCTCCAGACTCTCAAAGACGGTCTGAATGTCCATCACTGGTTGAGCAATGCTCTTTAACACGTCAATGCTTCGATCAGCAGCTGCTGTAGTAGCTTTAAGAGCGGACTGGGCAAGGACATCCTCTTGAACAATGGACAGCTTCAGTTGCAGTTCGACCAACGTCAATTTCAACTCGGTTATCACTTTGAGTTCTTCCTCTTTGAGTTCCTGTTCTATTGCTTCTTGCACTTGAGGATCAATCACCAGTCCTAATAAACAAATACTCACTGATCCATCGAGTACAACAATCCCTCTGCTTACCGTCTCCTTCTTCGCCTTGTATGTCGCGAGGAATCTCTAGTATATCGCTGGTTCTTTGAAGGGTTTCTCTTAGGAGTTCGTCTGAACTTTGCGACGATCTAAGTAAAGTACAAATGGAGTTAAAGACTAAGCGTAGATAAAGACACACTGTTGGTCCACTGACCTCCTTTTCGGCCTTTTAATTTCCTGGCTTTCACTGAGATTTACCCTTAAATCGGAACCAATTTCATGAGTGGTTCTAGGGGTAAGAGGCCTTCTGGCTTCCTCCTGCAAAGCCTCTTCGTCTGGAAGGCTGGTGGTTTCTGTGATGGCTGCCACCTGCACAATTTTACCGTAGGAAACTGTTGCGCAATACCATCATCATCACTCACCTGGAAAGCTCTGTTGTCCTCCTCCAGATGATGCCGCTCGGAACTCATTGCACTTTCAAAGTCTCCGTAGCTCTCACTGTCCAGCTCAGCAGCCCCGGCCAGACTCTCATTGTTGGAGTCCATAGAAATGTTCTTCGATAGACTGTAATAACTGTTGCTCTTCTGTGAATCTGATTTCCTTGGTGGGCGTTTGGGAGCATCGCCGCTACTGGAAGTCAAGTCGATTTTTAACTTTTCCGAAGTTATGGACGATAGAGCGTGACCTGCCAGAAGCGGAATAATCGATTAGAGCTTAAACTTGATTAATGGTTGACTTGCCACCTTCGTCGGTTATCGAGTAAATTTCGTCCACATCAGCCTCTGTTCTGAGGTCTTCGTCGGCGGTCATAAAATATTCGTCAGATACATCCACAATCACGGCTTCCATCAGAAGATTTCCTGATGTTGAGGACTCCTTGATGAAGCGCAGAGGAGGTAGCTCGATCATGTTGTGTTCTAAAATGTATTAGATATGTTGGTTGGTGTCCGATATGATGTAATCATCTGAACTACTCGCTACTTGGATTACCGTTCTAAACTTTTTTAATATTCTATTATTTTCAATTTTAATCTAGTTTAGGCAGAACAATTAAATCTAAAATTAATAATGAGTCGTTGCAGCAAAAGCCAAAAAAGTCCTGTTGCAAGGTGTTCAAGTGCAAAGTTAATCCCGTTGTGGCGTATTCAAATGCGCATTAAAACATGTTTTATGCTGTTCAGTATTGCATCTTTCCTATCGGTTCAATACGATCAGGTAATAAAGTTGCTGAATTTAATTATTAATTTAAGATAATACTCATAAGGAATTAAACATAATTAAAATAGTTTTGTGATAGGCACAAGCATTAACTCAAGCATGAAAAACCATATAAAGGATGCGCCCAGATTTTCCTTGATTTCGAAGTTTGAAGAAACTAATCAAGTTGAAGAAGAGCTCATCTCTACCGTGCCATTGAATTTTTCCATCAGAAGCTCCAAAAATTCGCGTAAACGATAAAAACTTGTGTTGTGAAGTGAAGTTTTGTAGGTGGAGGATGCAGTCAATATCAGCAGTTCTGTGCTAAATAATGCAGATATTTAATCGAATTATTTTCAACTGATTAGAGTGACTATTTTGTAGTTGCATCAGTGCTAATATATTGCTGTATCTCAAATACTATATTAGCCATACAGATTTCGGGCAAAAATTAATTATTAGTAAAGTGTCCAAAAGAAATTGCTAAAAATGATTGTCAAGACCGCAAAATAAAATGATCAATTTTTAATTCGAATTTTAAGCGGTTTGAGCAAGACCTTTGAAAGTACCTTTAGTCCAATTCTGATAAAATGTTGCCAAATTTTACTTTTAGTTTTATGATTCCAATTAGCCAAATAAAGTGGTGGGAAAAGATCAAATATTTTTTCAATATTTAATCAATATTTAAAATTTTCTCAGAAATGGACTAAAGGTATTTTCAATATACCGTAGTCTTGCTGAATCCGCAAAAACTAAGTGTTTAAATTTTATTATTTCGTACAGGGCCAAAACAAGGCAAATTTTTAGAGAGTTTGGCATGCTCGCAGTTGAACTAAAAAACGTTTTTTTTGCATCGACAGCAAAGGCATAGATATCTCGTAAGTATATACCTATAAAGTAATCGTGTTTCTTGATGATTATTTATTTACAGGATGATTTCCAAAAAAAAACATTTTTTGGGTTTCGCAGTGATAGGCTGTTTCCTCTTGAACCGATTTTCCAAATCCAGATCGCCAGTTCAAGCCAAAAGTTCATAGTCAACATATGATAAAAATTAAATATATAGGGTTGCATGAAAGCATGAATGGAGTATTTGAAAGATAAATTATTTTTAATTGAATATTCGCTAATTTCCGAGATTTGGGGGGCAGTTCGAATTTGGGTCACTTTCAGTGCAACTCTATAAACTTGAATTTTTGAATAAAGTCTACTATGAAGGTTTAGCTTCAACATGAGCTCCCTTTTAGTTTTGAAAATTGATCCCAGAAGAAAAATGTTATTACTGCAACATCAAAAAGTTGATTTTATATCACCCTGTAATTAAAAAAAATAAGCGAAAAATTCAAATATAGTTTCCAGATATGGGGATAAATCTAGTTTAATATATTAAATCAGATAAAACGTGTAAATCTATAGTAGGGCAGATATCGTCGGTTGAAGTTTCTGCTGGCTCAAAAACTGTTGAAAACGGACCAGAAATGTCGATTATTTCAGATCAAAATCTTCGAGCGTGTTTTTCAATGAGCTCGTTGCTTTTCTCGCTTCCTTTAGAAAACTGATTAAATAAAAATTAAAAAAATTAAAAGTTTGCTACGATTTTGAGGGGATTGACACTTGTCCTTTGTCTTTTACCAAAAATAAAAATTTCAGATGCGTGTTTTTTGAGCTCAATAGAATGCTTCCGACCTAAGAAGCTCCCCAAGTGTTTGGGTCTATAATACGGAAAATTTCGTCGGTTAAAAATTGCGTAAAATAGGCCAAAAATATCGATTATTTCGGATCTAAAACTTTTAGAGCGCTTTTGAATGCGCTCACAGCATTCCTCGCTTTCTTCACGTGAAAATAATGCAAAATTCAGAGTATTTAAAGCGAAAAAATCGCCCTGTTCTTTAATCTGTCGAGTTTCAATTAATTAAAACTTTTGACCTGGAATTTAAAATATGCCAATTAACGCTATTGCAGCGCAGCAAAAAAATAGACAAGTGTAATTTTAGAAAAAAACTGCTTTTCAAACAGAATCGTATTTACTAAAATCATCTAGCGTATAACACGTTGGGTGTTAGAATAGATAGAACACAGAAAAAAATTCCTGGGCTCATTCAGAAATGTAGCATTGTTTTATTTCACGCCCTGTAGAAACGTTATCGGAAGTAAATAATTTGCAAAAAAAGGCTCTATATCATAATCCGTTTCAAAGTTAGAGCAAATTTGGCCGTGTAAGATTTCTTTTGTTGAGCAGCTCACATTGTTGCAAAATTCATGATTTGGGATTTTGCAAATATCTGATTTTTTTTGTTCTATTTTCCTTGATAATTTTTCAATGCTGCCTAATACCTCACAGAAAACTTGCACCGAAATGATACCCAGTATACGAAAAACATACGCAGTGAGCGCAAAAAAGCGAAAGAGATTAAACATACCGGATACGTGCTCGGATAGCTGCTCAGCATACATTTCGACAATCTGCAACGCCTCATCCTCAGTCAAATCGGGGGTTTCGTATAACGACACTGAAACTTCCTTTCCATCGAACGAAAATGAAACTTCACCAGTGCCGATGGTGACTGACTGATCACCAGCAGTGTCATACATTTGCGAAGTTCTTTCTTCGTGAATCGTGGACAGTGATGGCTGCCTGACCAGCTCCATCCGCTCTTCTTGGCGAGCCTTTTGGTCTTCAAAGCCTAGTAGGGAAGCGAAACTCGCCACCGTGCCCATACAGTTTCTGGCTTCGCACGTATACGTGCCCAGGCAGCACGTGCCATCTTCGCCTGAAGTAATTCTGTGGATATCGCCCGGCTTTAGTTCAACTCCGTCCTTGTACCATTTCAAGACTGGCTGAGGTACGCCAATGACTTTGCACTCCAAATTAACCGCTCCCTCCTACAAAAGCTCCGAACATTTAACTCTCCTAGACGGATAAAGGAGATGAGGTTACCTCTGAAAGAACTGCTCTCAAGCACTCCAAAAATTTGGGTTTCTTGAAATGTTTCGGTATATTTAGTCTTAAAAAGCATGAAGTGACTGAGTGGCCAAACTCATTGGTTGCAACGCATTTCCACTCTGCTTGATCGTTGAATTCCAACTGTCGCACATCCAGATGGCAAATTCCTAAGTGTTCTCTGACTACGAAGTACTTTTCGGGCTCATTTTCGATCGGCTGGTCATCGCGGTACCAGGAGAGGGTTGGGAGTGGAGTCGTAACACTTACTAAAACACATTTAATGCGATTTCGTGGCTTCATGTGAGGTGTATAGCCAAGTTACCATGTACAGTGAATCTGAACGACTCATTAATCTTGGCTTCTTCGCTTTTGAGCCCATGCAAGAACTTGGGAGCCTGGCTGGCTGAAATGAGTTGCGCTCTCTCCTCGTCGTTCAGCTGGCTTTCGATGTCCTCCACTGTGAGCTCTGCAGAACTGCGGGCCTCGCCCATGCAGTTCTTCGCAATACAACAATAGGATCCTGTAGATGTTCGGAAATTTCAATAATAGACTGATCGGGTACAACCTGCACCTACCTACCTAAAGAATTGGTCCCAGTCAGCTGATAAACATCGCCAGGCTTGAGCTCTTGGCCATCCTTAAACCATCTGAGCAAAGGAGTAGGCGAACCGACCACTTTGCACTCAAAGGACACTAATCCTTCTTCAGTTAATACTGCTTTCAGTGTATCCAAGAATCGCGGTTTCTTGAAATGCTTGGGAACTGGAAACGAATAGTCGAATATCGTCTTTAAGTTGCTGTCGCTTCACTGTTACGTACTAATCATGTTTATATCACAAGTTGAAATGGAGATTGCGCCTTCTTGACTGGTGGCCACCAGCTTCCATTCTCCTTGGTCTTCGGCTTCGGTAGGGCGCACTTCCAAAACGTATCCTCCGATACCATCGGCCAAACATTTGTACCTGCAAAATACGATAACTATAAATAAATATAATATTGTAACGTGGATGGCCGAGTATCAAACTCTTTTGATGCCATTTCCGTTACACTGCCCCCCTTCTAAACCCTGATCGCCCCGATTAGGTAAATCCTGGATCATCGTTATATCTGGCCAAACGGTGAATGTGGACAACTTTAAATTTTGCCTGAGAGCTCTTCTGATTGCTCCTCAACAGTTCAACGCCGCCGGCGTCGCGCGGCTTTTTGCTAGAGTTTACTTGTCGCACCACGTTGTCCATCCATTGCATCAGCGTCCTCACCAGGTTGAAGAACTTGAACAGATCGCCAGTATGGGCCAGTTTTCCTCTGCGTTGCTCGCAAACCATTTTCAAACTGGCCCACGCCGACACTACTTCTTGTTCTCTATTTGTGATCCCTTCAGCTTTGTGGCCCGCATAGCTGGCTCGAAGCTTGACCGATTCCTCTTGGATCTGTTGCACTTGGTTCTGAAGTATCTGTAGGTCTTGCATGAAGTTCTGATGTTTGCGCTGCAGCGTTGAAACAGAACCAACATCTCGGCCCAGTTCATGAGAAGAGACCACCATTTCGCGATCAGCTATCCACTGCTCCAAGTGGCCAACGTCTCTGTTGAGCAGGAAGAGCTGCAAGGCCTCATCCAGCTTAGCGCGTCGTTCTTGCGCCAAATGCTTCAGTCCGGCATATAGCTTGTCCAGTTGCGACTGTTTAACCGCGACCTGCTCGCCCAAAGGATGTCCTTCAGTCGGCAGGGCCTTTACAATTT